AGGCGAAAAATTTGCTAGAGACATATGGGAGGCAAAGACCGTAGAAGGAGAGCACAATTTGGGGTAGGGGGTTGGCATGGGTAGGCCCTAGTGGGTTGGCAAAAAGCATTGAACACTTGGTGAAAACTGGCGAATGGAAGAAAAAAATGTCAAGTGGAAATTTGGGGGATAACAACACAAAATTTTAGTTAGCATCTATATAATTGTACTGTACCTGCAATTGGTCCTTTGTCTCTTGTAGAATATACTTAGTCTGCACATATTAATCCATTTCAGGACAAAAAGGTGGGATTTGCTTCACATGTTGGCAGAGTGTGGGTCCCCTCAACCATTAGTAGTTCACATCTAATAATGCATTAAATAATAAAATGTAGAAATTCGACTACCTAGTTAAGATAATTAAAAGCTGACAATGACACATTTTGGCTAAAACTCATCACTTGTGCATGGAAGAAATATTAATGTCGTTAAAATTACCTTATCTTCTTCTCTCTATCCTTTTCCTTTTTATCCTTTTTATGTTTTTCTAACATTCTATTCAAAAGTTATATTAGAACAGCTCCAATTTTGAGAGGAATTGTTGACAACTTACCTTGAAAACCCAAAAACCAAGGCAGGAACCTTGAAAACCCAAAAACCAAGGCAGGAATCCCATCCTGTGATTTTTAGAAATCTAAGGGTCCTCCATATGCAGTGGGATCATTGTTCTCTGTATCCAAATAGATGAGATGTGAAAATCATATATCAACAGAACAACAGCAGAAATCATCAATTCAATTAAAGTTCTAGAGGCGAAAATTCTGCAAGAGGCATACGGGAAGGATAGACCATAGAAAGAGAGTACAATTTAGGGTAAGGGGTTGGCACGGGTAGGCCCTGGTGGGCTGGCAAAAAGCATAAAACACTTGGTCGAAACTGGTAGATGGAAGAAAAAAATGTCAAGTGGAAATTTGGGCGACAAAAAGATTAAATTTTATTTAACATCTATTTAATTGAACTGCACCTGCAATTGGTCCTTTTTCTCTTGTAGAATATACCCAGTCAACATATATTAATCCATTTCAGCACAAAAAGGTGGGATTTGCTTTACATGTAAACAGAGTATGGGTCTCCTTAACCATCAGCTGTTCACATCCAATAATGTATTAAATAATAAATGTAGAAATTCAACTAGGTAGTTAAGAAAATTAAAAGGTGAACACTGTCAACCTTATCTTCCCCCCTCCAACGAAAATTGACACATTTTGGCTAAAACTCATCACATGTGCGTGGAAAAAATATTAATTTCATTAACATTATCTTATCTTCTTCTCT